GGGATAACTGCATAGCCTCTCTGTGCCTCTGTTTCTTTAGCTGTCAAATGGAAATAAGCCTTCACAGAGGTATGATGAGGGCTCAGGGTATAGTGCACAGAACGTGCCTCTGCATGGGGACTGGCACATAACAAGGATTCTCTCTGTGGAGTAAAACTTCATTTTAAATTTAAATAAACCTATAGATGCATAAATATGGGCCCAGCAGTTTACCATATAGAAAGAGAAAGAGAGAGAGAGGTGCCAATCTTTATTTTTATTGTTTTATTTTTTGCTTTTTTTGTATTTCTACCCTGGGGCTCCATGTCATTCTCAGTATCCTTATAGTAAACCCACCTGACCTCACCTGAGTAGGGCTCTGCTCCATGTAATCAAAAGAACCCCACCCTGAACAGGCTTCTGGCCTTTGTCCATCCCACACTGCAGCCAAATGGGGCTGGGCTCTTCCTTAGCCCTGGGCCTCATTCCATGCTGTCCCTATCAGCAATGGTATTGCCTGCCTGACCCCTCAGCCTCCTCAAGGGTCAGTCCCTTGCTTTGCAGAGACCTCATTCCTACCAAACCTCTCCACAGCCCTCCCGAACCCAAGTGGCCAAGGAGCTTTCTTGAGCGCAGCTCCAAAGCTCCTGGCTACCCATTCATGTACCTCTCCTATGGAGAGTCTAATCCAGGCTCCATCACTTAGCAGTCCCAGCAATCAGGCAAAGCCGTCAGCCCCTCTGAGCTTAGTTTCCTTGTGTCTAGGAGGGAGATATCACTGCCAGTCTGGCCTCAGGAATATAACAATTGTCAAGCACACACCAGAAAATGTGCACCACAACTCTGAAAACTTCAAGTGCTTTCCAAACATGTCAGATCTTTCCCAAGAAACTCCAAAGAATGTATAGCAATTTTAAAATGAGAATGTAGGCTCTTCATTATGGACCACTCTGCCTTCTTTACAGTCCTCTGGGAATGCTGAGTAGTGGGAAATCCCAGAGGGCCCCCACTGCCCTGCCTGCCACACAGACAGCTCCCCAATGTAGCTGATGCACTATGCCTCTGTCCCAAAGGAATTCTGGCAGCACCTTTCCCCTCCACAGCCTCAAAACTCTTCATCCCTTGAGCGCTCAGCTCTAGGAGTTAGAAAACAAGTCTGCCCATAACTCTGCATTTTAAATGTTCTGTGGTCCATGACAAATAATTTACATAAGGGCCAGCTGGATGGAGCACAGTGGGATACTGCAAGAAAAACAAAATGCAGTAACCCAGATTTCATCTGACCAGCCAAAGCCCTCGGAGAAATCTGAGGACCACACTGAAAGGAACACAGTCATCTTTACCTAGCTCCCCTCACCCTCTGTGAAAAGTCATGATGGAGAGAAGCTGTAAATTATGGCCTCTTCAGCTAATTTTACACGACATAATTACAAATGACTCTATTTTTCCTAATTGAGGGAAATAATAAAATCTGTTCTCTCTCCTCCTATCTATGCCCTCTACCCAGAGGTTCTACTAATTTAAAACATTTGCTGGAAAAATAATACGAGGGCATTGTTCTTATGAAAAAAAGTCCAATTGGTTTGAGTTTAATTCTAATGTGCACAGAAGAATATGAGCTTATCCTGCATGATGGTACAATGACAAAATGAGTTAATTACCATCTCATCCTAAGACAAATCTACTTGTCACAGGAACAGGAGCCATTATTTCACACAAAATAATGACCTAGATAAAAAAGTAATGACTGCAAGCTGTAGCAACCAATGACACAGCTTCATCCTGGCCTAACTGAATGGCAATTAACAAGTGTCACCATTACAAGGATAGAAATAGGGCCCAAGCTATTCATTACATATTTACAATGAAAAAACACCAGTGGTTTTTAGTATATGTCTTCCTGGGAAGCGCCTATGGTCTTTTACCTAAGTGATGACAGAAAAATTTACACATATAAAATTCTGGCATTAGTTGGAATAGCCACAGATCCAGGAGCAAGCTATTCAGGTACCCTCTGCTCTTTAAACACAGAGGTGGGGTTTTCTCTAGAAATCACATCCAGCAAAAGAATAGAGGATCAGAGGGAAGGGAGCCTCGTCCCATTGTTTTGTCTCTCCTCTCCTGGTTGTTCATGGCAGCTGTCTCACCAACAGCCAGAAATGCTGGGTCCTCCCCAGTCCACCCCTCATCCATGGACAGCAGGGGGTAACGGTGGGGCAACCTTAACATACCTGGCCCCAGTATAAACCACCTTTCTGCTCAGAGGAACAGAAAGAAGAGACTGTGGGACACATACCCAGAGACAAACTCCAGTTCAGAAATCTCAGTGCTGCCCTAGTGTGTGAGTTGACTCTAGTCTGTGTCCAATAATGTTTTGAAAGACCAAGGGCATGGCACATCCAAGATGACTTTAAAGTGTAACACTTTCAAAATGTTAAAAACAGAATTCTTGTACAGAAAGCCCTCAACATTGCCGACAGGTTCTTGGAAACTCTGACTATAAAACAACAGATAACAAAATTAATTTTTTTCTCATCAACATTATAATGGGGAGTAGTGGCAGGCACCTGTAGTCTTGGCTACTCAGGAGGCTGAGGCAAGAGGATCACCTGAGCTCAGCAGTTAAAGGTTGCAGTGAGCTAGATGATGCCACTACATTGGCATGACAATGAGCAAGACTGTGTCTCAAAAATCAAACAAACAAAAACATTATAGTGAACTGATGTTGAATAAAACCTTGCTGAGGGCATGCTGTATATCATGTGGCTTATCAACCATGATGTTAAGTAAGGACTTATTATACAGCTATAGAATGAGCACATGTCAACCATATATTTAACAAATTACCAAACAAATCAGCATACACACATATATTGATGTACACACACATATCCATGCCAGGATAAGAGTAAAAAAGTTAAATAAAACCTAGATAATCGGCTCGGCGCCTATAGCTCAACCGGCTAAGGCACCAGCCACGTACACCTAAGGTGGCAGGTTCGAATCCCCAGCCCGGACCTGCCAAAAACAACAATGACGGCTGCAACCAAAAGATGGCCGGGCGTTGTGGTGGGAGCCTGTGGTCCCAGCTACTTGGGAGGCGGAGGCAGGAGACTCGCTTGAGCCCAGGAGTTGGAGGTTACTGTGAGCTGTAATGCTACGACACTCTACCCAGGGGGACAGCTTGAGGCTCTGTCTCAAAAAAAAAAAAAAAAAAAAAAAAAAACCTAGATAATGTCCCATGGGGCATAAAGATCCTAGCTTTGAAGATACTTTTGTTGGACAGATAGCTATCTCTACTTGGGTGCTACAGAAACACAGCATCTGAATATCCCATAAATCAGGCTGCTGTTTCCTGAAGACCCTAGACGAGCCCAATGCAATGGGTCAGTCACACAATGATCTAGTTTGGTTGGGACAAAGGCACCAATTCAGGTGTTCTTAAAAGAGCACATGAGATGGAATGAATAGAGCCTCATCACTTGATTTTCCTACTTCCCCCTCAAATATTCCAAGCATCTGAGTCTTAATTACAAAACGATTTCTAAAATTATATTTCCCCAAGTATTCAGATCAGGAGGTAAACTCCACCTGTAGGCGTCACTACCCAAGTTAGTTGGAGTTATTTGTAGTGATTCAAAGAAAATGGCCCTATTTCTACAGATATCTATGTGAGCTGCAAAAATACACATGCTCTCAGGCTTATGCATGTGTGAACAAAAGCTACTGTATTTTTTTCCCAGTTCTTAAATAATGATCTGAATTCTACCACCGTAGAAAGAGGCTACATATTCTTAGGAAAATTTCCAGAAATTTTGACCTAAGAGATCATCTGAGTTCTCGTCCTCAGCTCTTGGCTCCCACCATGCACAAGCAGCTATTCCAAGGCCTCAAGGGCCTGAACACTCCTTAAATGTTGAAAAGAAGGAGGCAAGAAAGACACAAATGTCCTCTAAAGGGACAATCTAATCATTTCACACTTCTGCAAAAGTCCTCTCAGGGCCTTCTTGTTGTTTTTACAGCCCAGTTTGGATCTCCCTGACCCATTCTCCTACCCCTCCCTCCCCTCTGACCTTCTTTGGATTCTGCCTGCCTCAGGCTCTCAGTTTCCTGTGGGGCGGGCTTCCCAGCCTGCCCTGGTGCAGGTGCAGCCACAGCCACATCCCCAAAGTCCCCTTGCCCCTTAGCCCCAGATGCTGCCTGCCTGGTCCCACTCACCCCACCCAGCAGGGCCTACCTTCCCAAGGGAGGGGCCACAGCTATTTTGTTCTCTGCAGGCAGGCACCTAGTACTATGCCTGGCCCACAGGTGACCACTGATGATATTTGTTAATGAATTCCCTGAAAGGACCTCAAACAAATCACAACCACCTAAATAGGGTGGGGAATTGTCAACTACTTTGGAAGAATGGGTAAAAGACAACAAGAAAAAGATCAAGCAATGAACTCAGCCCCAGTTTGGGCAAGGACATTCTCTCTGTAGTAAATGTCACATTAAAATTCAAGTAAACCCTGCAGTTAGGCATGAAACCTCATATGGCATAAAGAAAAGTTCAAAACCAGATACATTTCTGGGCAGATATGAATTCTCTGCAACTAGGCAATCTTCCCTGGTACAACCACACGCCAGTGGCCACAGGACTCTGGCATGCTCCCACGCTGAGAGGAAGGGGACTGCAGCAACGAAGACCCACAGACAAAGGAAGGTGGGATCTCAGGGCTCACACCATCTGGAGGGGTTGAGAGGAGTCCTGGCAGTGGGTCTGCCGACCTGTCAGCTTTTAATGCCATTTTAGTTCTAAATGACAGAATCCAGGGTCCCACCAGCCTGGGAGCTTGGGAAAGCCACCCTGTTCCAGAGTCAACTGTGGAGAGACTGCTCTTCCGTGGCGCTACCCAAAGCTTTAGGTCATGGTTCTTGCCACAGCCTCTCGCATGTCTGAGGAAGCCAGCTCCCCTGCTCGTTCACTCAGCTGAGCGCTCTGCAAACCTGTCCAGACGAATCCTGACTGGAGTGCTTACCTTCTTAACGAACTCTGGGATGATTTTTTGGTCTGTCAGGTGGTCTAAGGAGGAACAGCAATCTAATTCCAAGATGTAGCCTTCATTGTGAAGATCGCTTTTCTGAGATCTGAAGAGGCAGAAAAGCATATGTATACAAAGATTAAGATTGTGCACAATACTTTTTTTTAAAAAGAATCCCTACATGTTTCATTAAGCCCCGAATTCTTTCATGACAGTAACTGCCAAAAAGACATCGCTGAAAACATAATTTATGGTAAATAACTCAAGTAATATATATAGATACACAACACAGAAAGACCTCCAAGACACAGCACCATGTAAACGGCTTTATTACAGAATGATGGTTTAATATGGCTTATACTACAGTTAAACAACACACACAGAAACTCCAGTAATCTCTATTTCCCATTGGTTTAGATCTGCCAGGGCACAGGAAAAGAACCAGCAAAATGTGCATCAAACCAGTAACAGCAGATTGGGAGGTGGGAGGGTCCACACAAGAACTGGGGTTTACATGGTGATGGTGGGGGTGGGGATGGTTAGGATCCAAAGTGACTCTAGCTATAATCTCTAATTTTTTTCATTTTTAAATGAAGAGAATATATTCATATATCACTTTGAAAATTAAAAATTAATTTTTTAAAGACTTTAGAAGGGTTTGACCCCTACAGAAAGCAATCTAGCCAAATCTATCAAAATAAAAGATAACTAAAGAAAAATTATCAGGCAACTAGACGTTAGAAATTCTGGGGAAACGGGAGAACTGAAGGGCTGCTTGAGGTAAAGGCCTCCGGTTTTGCAGTCAGGGTGGAGTCTTCCCTGCATGCATGCGGGCAAGGAGCTGCTTTCCACCTTGCCCGACACACAAACTTGCCCACGGTACATCACAGAGCACAGCAGTGCTCACACAGGAGGACCAGCAGCAAAGCGGTCACTAAAAGGACATTCTACCACTTCACAGCCATTCCTTGGCAGGGCTCCTTTATGACAATAACATGGGTTTGGGCAACTCTTAGAAGCCACAAGTTGTCAAAATTTGAAGGGGATTCTTTGGACCAGCCAGTCATAAGGCAGCAAGAGGTGGGCCTGTAGCTAAGGGCTGGCAGACAGTGTTGTCTCTTGTGGGAGGCTGGTGAGGGAAGTGGAAATTAAGAGGCCAGCTCTGGGCTCTTTGTTCCAGGCTCACACCACATACACAGTCACTCTGTGCGAGCTGTCCAGTGAGCAGCCCACTTTCCAGGACCCCCTGTCAATCCCTGTGAGAGAAAGTCTGGCCAGACAATCCATCAAGTGGACACTTTCACACCGAACTCCTGAGACCCATGTCTCTCACCAATTTCTAAATGCATATTTGCTATAATATTTTTAAATAAATTTCTAAGATTCTTATGTAGCATCAAAGGCAATTCATGCTACCAGGAACCACCTGGGTATGATTTACATGAAAATTAAAAGTGAAAAAAATGAAAGAGGATTTGGTTTACCCAGGTGTGCAGCTGTGATTTGGTTAGCAAACTTTAATGGTCTATTCTTATTTCATGTTTCCCTCTAACGTATCCTTTGAGGTGTAGGGTACATTTGAAATAGGAAAGAAAAGACTGATTCCAAATTGGTAAGCCTGGAATAAACTAAGTCCAAAAGAATAAACCAATTCTGAATCTTAGGCTTCTTGCCTTGAAATTTAGAGCTCACACTCCGGTTCTCACCCCTTCCCCCCCCAACAAAAGACACATTAAGAGGAACTAAAGTAGAGAATTCCAGACTTTTCAAAGAGAAATCTTGGCCAAGACGCACCATCATGTGTATTATGTGAGGTCTCAAACAACAAAGATCAAGGTGGGGGAGGGGAATTCTATTATCAAATGTAAAATCCCAGCTGCTCTGTCACATGGAGATTAATGTCAGACTATAGGAGGTTCCTTATAAATATCCATTGAGATTTTAAATTAGATTGAAAAATCATAATCATTTAAAGTAAGTCAACACTGAATCTATGCAGTATAACACTCACAGAATGAATGAAAACGAAGATGACTGTAAAGCTATAATTTGATAAGTCTGTAAGCAACTCACAGCCCAGACTGATTCAGGACCTAACAAGTACCATCTTTCATTCTGAAACAAAAAGTTCTACAAGAAAGGAAGCTCTGGTTTATTTCATCAAATAATTAACTCAGTTACATCTGAACTGAATGGAGGGCGAAAGATCAAGAAAAACAGGCAATACAGATTTTCTAGATGAACCATGAAAAATTACATCTCAGTCTACTGTTTCTAGAAAAAGCAAATTTAATGCATATTGAAGAAACAGGTGAGCAACTAATAGGGGTTCCCCTTGCCTTCACTGCATAATCAGCAGTGAAAGGGTGGTAACACTGGAGAGTAACTGAAGGAGAGAAGAGGTGGAAAGGACCTCTGAATCCTCTGAGGACGGATGCCAAGCCTGGAAGTATCACTCTGTGAGGTGCCCCTGTAGCCTGACAGTGGCAAGAGCTGGGTGGAGGGCACAGTCACGCAGAAACTCTCTCCCTGCCACTAATCCTTGGAGAAACAGCATCAAATACACTAGCTGAACTTCCCAATAGGCTCCCAGAGTTTATAGGCTCCTCCCCGTAGAGGTGGGGGATGGGGAACCATGGTTGCTGTGGAGAACACACCTATAGTGACCCCACAAGGGCCCACTAAGGACTCCTAACCCCTAAGTGGGGTCAGAACCTGGGACTATGATAATGGTGAGGTGTGTCACTGCCAAGATTGCATTATGTTCCAAGACCCCAGCTGAGCAGACTAAAGCAAAAGACTCTCTCACTGGCTGTGAAGGAGGAAGCTGCCATGTTAGAGAGTCTCATGGCAGGGAACTGTGGGCAGCCCTTGGCCAAGAGCTGCAAGAAAATGGGGATCAATGTCCTATGTTTGGACTTTGCCTCAATTGAGCCTCTGATGACACCACAGCCCCAGCTAACACCTGGAATGCAGCCTGACGAGATCTGGAAGCAGAGAACCCAGATCAACTACAGAAACTGTGAGATAATAAATGCATGTTGTTTTGAGCCACTAAGTTTGTCATACATTTATTACAAAGCTTAGAAAACTAATATTTTAAAAAAAGAAGAAGACTAATATATTTCCTAAAAAGGAAAATGACACTCCATGCTCAGAAAAAGGTAGTCACTATTGGCCAGGCATAGGCCCAAACCCACAAGATCTAGTCATACACCTGAGAGCCCTCCCTGTCAGGTGAGGAGTATTCAGTGTCCTGGGGGGCAGGGACCACCCTGGGAGACAGAAGTGGCCTTTATGGGCCATGACTTGGCCATTTAAGAGACTACAGGACAGGGGACTAAATATTCTGTAGTCATTCAAGTTTCTAAGGTAGAAGGATCAACTTGAAACTCTCAGCTGAGCAGGCATTTGCCACTCTCCTACTGGGGGGAGGTGGGAAATACCAGTTATGGTTTTCCAAAAGGCCATGACATTGAGTCATCCTGGAAAAGAATATAAAGAAATCACCAAACTTTCCCAGATGGCTTCTACTCCTGGAAAGGACAGACCAATATGGGCTTAACCACTGAGAAAAAAGAACACAATGCATTTCTGGAGATACAGGGCTAAGAACCAGTGAAAGCCTCCCAGCCTACCTTCTCTGAAATATAACACCAAACACTCTCCACTTAAGTAAAAGCACTCTGAGAACAGCACAGCCAACAATGAGATATGCTTCCCGATCACTACTGGGTTTTGTGCAACCTTCATCACTATCCATTTCCAGAACTTTTTTGTCATCCCAAACAGTCCTCATTTCTTTAATATCTTATTACTGTGGTAGGACTTAGGCCAAAACTGAATGTGAACAAGAAAAAAAACATTAAATAAATACTTGTCGGCTCGGCGCCT